CTTGAGACCTCCCCCGACCTAGGATCAGACTCAGATTCTAAGTTCTGGGGCCTGGAACCTCAGTGTGCACTTGAACAATGAAATTGGTGACAAGCATTACTGTACTCCTATATTTGGGTAAGTATTCTGGGTCTAAGAAAGGGCAGTTTTGTGGCTAATGACAAAAGAGAATTATCTGCTGTCTCCATGTCTTCCACCATGATTTACCAATTGCTGGAAAGAATGTGTATCTATGTGTTTCTCAAGGGTGTCTGAGCGTCAGTGTGAGGAGCTGGTCATATCCACTACTCAGAGAAGATTCCCCAGGTCTCACAGCTCTCAAGCTGTAAGGAATTTTAGGTTCATTGAGCTCAAGGCTCATGGAAGATGGGAAATTTATTTTTGGCCTTGTGGCTCTGCATAGCTCAGGAACAAATAAATACAAGTAATATTTCTCTTGTCCTGTGCAACACATATAAAAATACCCAAATACGGAGTAGGGCAGGGAGGACAGTTCTGGAGCGGTGGTGAACCTGACCTTCAGATGTACCAAGAGCTGATGATCCAGAGCTAATCTGCTGTTTTTCAACCCCATAGGTATTAGGGGTGATGCTAAGACCACACAGCCAAATTCAATGGAGAGTAACGAAGAAGAGCCTGTACACTTGCCTTGTAACCACTCCACAATCAGTGGAGCTGATTACATATACTGGTATCGACAACGTCCCTCCCAGGGGCCAGAGTATGTGATTCATGGTCTTACAAGTAATGTGAACAACAGAATGGCCTCTCTGACAATCGCTGAAGACAGAAAGTCCAGTACTTTGATCCTGCACCATGCTACCTTGAGAGATGCTGCTGTGTACTACTGCATCTTGAGAGACCACAGTGGGACAGATGGGGCTGCAGCTGTGCAATATCTCCCTGGTGGTGAAAGGGAAGGCATCTAATGAGGCCACTGCACAAGAAGGAGCAGAAGTTTAATAGAGGAAGAAGAAAATTTAAAGAAGAAAAGGGAAAAGAAGTAAAGAGGAGGTGGTAAGGAAATCAATGAGAGGATTAAAGGAATGAAGAAAATGAGAAAGAATAGCTAAGAAGTCTTAAAGAAAGGACTGAGAAGCTTGGCGAAGAAATGAAGAATCACAATTGGAATTCTGCAATGAAGAAGAAAGGAAATAAGAATTTTCCAGGACCCTTTCTTTTAATCAACTCTTGCTTTCCATGTAGATCTCACTATAAAAGATGAGAACCATCATCTGGTTGTCCCAAAGCGTTTCTTCATCTAACCCCAGGGAAGTGCCTGGGCTTTGAATATTATATTAGTCCTTCCAACCTCTCAATAGTTGAAATGAATTTCAGAAATTCACTCATTTGCCCTTACGAAAAATTTGAAGTTTTATTTGTTACTCATCCATAGCACATACTCTGGGATACAGATAATTTCTGGAAGGAAACAAGAAAGTGGTGGATATGTGAATATTGATTTCACTTTTTAAATCTATGTTGAAATATCTCTATTATTACACAAAAATACACAAATCTTTTTTCATTGTAAAAGATTCAAACTATTAAGTATGTGAAGTAAAACCTTAAAGACCCAAACTGACTGTCTCCATCTCCATCCCATTTTCTCTTCAATTCCTACAATAAACCATTTTGACAACTTGGAGTGTGTCCTGATGATCATACTTCTTTTCATTTACATGGATACTCACATAAATATCTACCCAATTTTATTACATAAATTGGATCATACCATGTGTATTTGTCTGCAACTTGCTTTTATTTTTATTTAAAAATGGTTTTTTGAGGTGTGTTCATACCAAGATACATGTGTATGCATGTGTGTACAAACTGGCCTTATTCTTTTCAATATCTACAAATATTCACAGTATGGTTGTATAATAATTTTACTTACCTCACCTATATCATCGCTACATATATAAATATATATGACGTGTGTGTGTGTGTGTGTGTGTGTGTGTGTGTACATATTTCTCATAGATTCCTAGAAGTGGAATTACTGGATCAAAAGATATGCCTATTTTATATTTTTAGGATATTGAAAAGTCGCATTCCAAAATGGCTTTAACAATCTAACCCAAGCAGGAACATGGCAAAAATGTCTACTCTCACCGTTTCTATTCAACATTATCCTAGAGAATCTAACCAATGCAATGAGACAAAAAGAAAAAGGAAACCAGGCTTTACCTATTACAGATTTGTGAATTTTTCTTTTTTGGAGGATGGAGAATGAGGTTGGTGTGCTATTTGAATTTTGCCCACAGATCTAATCTGGTATTTGCCTTTACTTTGGATACTTCTGTTCAATTTGTTTTCAAAAAATTGGAAGCTTTTTTGGAATAATTTCAAGAGTCATTCCACATAACTTCTCCTAATAATGTTATGAGTAAATAGTAATTAATATATTCACCCAACAAATTAAATCTTTAATCTGTGCCAAATCCTATGTTGTACAATGAATAACATGGGCTTTGGGAACTGCCTTCAAATATGGGAAGAACAAAATACCACGGAAAACAAAAGGAATATAATAATTGAGAAAACAACACAGAAATAATTCTAAAAGCTCCAAAGTGACTGAAAATAATTCCATCTTTCTTAGAGAATTGTGGTAGGAAGCTCTTTGCTGAGCCTTGTCCCTAGAGGGAGATAGCACATCCAAAATAATCTGTCTTTAGACCGGAAACACAAAACCCTGAAAGATTGCTAACTGACTTGGTAAAGGAAACCATATTTAACTTTTTAAAACGTAACTATCATTTTGCAAACAATAGAATTGTCTGTGTAGCAAATCCTATAGACAAAAAAACTACTGTAACCAATAAATGAGTTAGACAAAATTGCAAGATACAAGCTCAATATACAAAATAATGCTGCTTCTATACAGTAACACTAAACAAGCAGAATTGAAATTTATATATATATGCATATATATGCATAAAAAACTTTTAACAAAATTTTAGCAGACTGACTCTAACAATATATAAAAAGGATAATACATAATAATGAAGTGGGGTTCATCTCAAGAATACAATTTATATGTATATAAATTTCAATTCTGGGCCAGGCACCATGGCTCATGTCTGTAATCTTGGCACTTTGGGAGGCTGAGGCAGGCAGATAGCTTGAGGCCAGGAATTCAAGACTAGCGTGGCCAACATGGCAAAACCCTGTCTCTACTAAAAATAAAAAATTAGCTGGGTGTGATGGCACACACCTGTGATCCCAGCTACTCAGGAGGCTGAGGCACGGGAATCACTGGAACCTGGGAGGCAGAGGTTGCAGTGAACTAAGATTACACCACTGCACTCCAGCCTGGGCAACAGAGTAAGACTCTGTCTCAAATAAATAAATAAATAAATAAATAAATAAATTTCAATTATGGCGTGTGTGTGTGTGTGTGTGTGTGTGTGTGTATGTGTATGAATACATTTGACAAAAGATGTCTAAGGCCTGTACACTAAAAGACACAAAAAAATTCTGAGATAAATTTAAGAATTAAATAAATGGAAAGAGTTACTGTGTTTGTGAATTAGAAGACTCATTAAGATTCTTTCCAAATTGACCTATAGATTCAATGTCATTCCAATCAAAATCCCAACAGAAATTTTCATAGAAATTGACAAGTGGGTCTAAGATTTATATGAAAATACCAAGGGACTATAATAGCAAAAAAAAAAATTCTTAAAAAAAAAACAAATTGAGGAACTTACACTACTGATATTAATACTTTTATAGTTACAATAATCAAGAGACTATGATAGTGATATAAAGATAGACAAGTAGAACATTGGAACACAATAAAGGGTCCAATAGTAAGCCAACACATACATAGTTGATTTTCAACAAAAATACCACAGCAATTTGTTATGAACTGAATATTTGTGTTCTTCCCTGCAAATTCATGTGTTGAAATCCTAACCCCCAGTGTGATGGTATTAGGAAGTAGGTTTTTGAGGAGGTGATCAGGTCATAAAAGTGTAGCCCTCTTGAATGGTATTAGTTCCCTTGTAAAGGAGACCCTAGAGAACTTTCTTGTTCTTTCTGTCACATGAGGACACCACAAGAAGACTGCCGTCTATGAACCAGGAAGCAGGTCCTCACCAGACATGAGATCTTCCACCACCTTGATCTTGGACTTCCCAGCCTCCAGAACGATGAGAAATAAATTTCCATTGTTTTAGTCACATAGTCTATGGTATTTTGTTATGGCAGCCCAAGCTAACAAATACAATCTCAAAATAAAGATGCTGAAAGGAATCAGATGACAGAAAGCAGATACTGTATGTTTACATAAAACTCTAGAAAATCTATAGTAAGAGAAGGCAGACTAGAGATTGCCTGGGATTGAATAGGCCTTAGGATGATATATTGGAAAGGTATACAGAAAGGATTAACAAGGAACACAAGGAACAGAGACACAAGGAAACTTTGGGGAGTGGTGCATATGTTCTTTATTTTGTTTGTGATGATGATTTCACATTTGTATGACCACGTCAAAAATTATCATATTGGACCTTGAAAACATATGTAATTTATTATATGCAACGTGTACCTCAGAAAAGTAGTTTTTAAGAAGGCTCAAAACAAAAGCAGACAGAGATAAATATTGAAAAATAATCACTCTGTATTATAGAGAGCAGAATTTTTTACTTTCTTTTAATTATGAAGGGCAAACTTTCTCAAGCATGCGAGGGTAACATATGTTATGAGATTATATTTTCTTTATCTCATAAGTGGCATATTTTATGACAATAAATAGATCTATGTCATATATAAGTTAACTCCAGAAAACCTGTCCATTATTCGCATTTCTCAGTCTGGCCAAAGAGTGGCAGTGTTAAAAAAGTGTTTGAGTAAGATCGTACAGTGCTGAGCAAACAGGAATCCAGGTATGGCTTCTGATTGGTGTCATCTCCTGCACCAATGAGCAAAGTAACTTCTGCTGGGGAAGCCCATTCAGTAAAATCTGATTTAACTGTGTTTTCTAAGTAGCCAAGGGATGGAGACTGTTCTGCAAGTACTCCTAGGGATATTGGGGTTCCAAGCAGCCTGTGAGTATGTGGTTAGTCTGGGAGAATTGTGGGATGATGACAGCATCCTGAGGGCAAGAGTCGAGTCATCCTCCAACCTGGGAAGGCCCTTTTGAGAGCCAGATATATGTTTAAAAAAATGACAATACTTGGTTTTAATGTGACAATTTTGCTTCCTAGGGGGCATGGGGAGGAGAGGAGAAACATCATCCCTACCATGACCATGAAAATTTTATGAGGGCCTTCTGTATTTTCTTTACATTGTCTTTTTGAACAGGGGTCACTAGCCAAGAACTGGAGCAGAGTCCTCAGTCCTTGATTGTCCAAGAGGGAAAGAATCTCACCATAAACTGCACATCATCAAAGACATTATATGGCTTACACTGGTACAAGCAAAAGTATGGTGAAGGTCTTATCTTCTTGATGATGCTACAGAAAGGTGGGGAAGAGAAAAGTCATGAAAAAATCACTGCCAAGTTGGATGAGAAAAAGCAGCAAAGTTTCCTGCATATCACAGCCGCCCAGCCCAGCCATGCAGGCATCTACCTCTGTGGAGGAGACGCACAGTGATCTTCAGGCCTCTATCAGCTGTCTTGAAACCTGCAGCTGGGCCACATATGCTCTTCTGACATGGGGCTCCTGAGATGTGGCTGGGACCTTTGCCAGGACATGAAGCCTCAGAACATTGCAATTGTCTTATTGGAAAAAAAATGGGGAGGAGAGTAGGAATGATACAAGGGGGAACTATATCACTAATCCTAAATTTAATTTGACTTTAATGTCTGGTAGTTATGTTACTTTTTAGTAGGAACATCAAATTAGAACAAGAATGGCATGAATTTCAGTGATTTATGCAAGAACTACTCACGAATATTGTGTCCCTGTTGTGCCAAGGAACTTCTTTCCCTTTGCTATTTACCCACCTTGTTAATAAAAAGAAATTGTGCATTGTTTGACAGATTCTTTGTCACATATTAACATTGTACCAAGAGTATTAGAATACCCATACTGAGGAGTCATGGGCAGTAGTTTTTTTCAAAGTTAGTAGTATAGATATGGAAAAAGACAAATGTTTAGATAGATAAATAGGTGATAGATTATAGGTAGCCAGATTATTAGATAGATAGATAGATAGATAGATAGATAGATAGATAGATAGATAAAGAGATAGATAGATAATAGGTAGATTAGATAGAGTGAGCTAGAGAGAGGGGAATATATTAATAAATATCTAATGTAGTCTTAGACTGGCCTCCACTTCTCTTCTCATTGTGCTTTTATTCATATTCTATTCTCAGTATTCTTCTGGCCACTCCAAATTATCATCTTAAAGAATTGTTTCCCAGTTGTACCAGTATGAAGCAGAGAAGATCTTACCTTCATCATCCACTCCACATTAGACTAATGCTGGCCTAACGTGGGTTTTTAGAAGTATTAAACTGATACTGAATAACTGATAAGATCATAGGTTAGAGAGAAATAATTCACGTGTTTCTTAAACGCTATGTGATATTGACCAATAACTTTAACCTTCCAAGTCTCTATTTTCCTTCTGTAAAGATGATACAATCATATTATTTTATTCATATGTTCTTGTCAGGATGAAGTAAGGTTATAGATTACATACATTATCTGGTATATTACAAGCCCTCAATATTTGAAATAGCATTTTTACTATTAATCAAACAATGATAATCTCAAGTAAGTCAAAATTCTCAGATAAAAGTAGGGAAGTTGATCAACATGATATGGCTCCAACCTAACTAGGAGATGTTCTATTCTTTAAATTTAGAAAAGAAAGGAGGAATATAATGGTCTCCTGTCATCAGAAACTGCCTAGTGACCTGGTTTCAAAAGAAATTTCACGTAAAATGGGAATGATCATTTATGTTGGCCAAAGTCAGGGAAGATTTTTAAAAATCAAGTCGAATCAGATTATTTTCTGTTTTAAAGAAATGTTACCTATACCGCCCACTGAGAGAAAAGTTTGCTAAAATAACCAGGAAAGAGAGAAAAGAGAGAAGCCCGTGAAAGAAAATGTTTGGCAACGTGATAAGAGGAAAAGTAGGCAGGAAAGAAGAACATAAGTTTTTGATTTTCATGAAATGTTCCGAGTAAAGTGACACTTACCTGTGTGTGTAAATATGCATATACATACACAAATCTCAAACTAAAGAGTGTACATATTTGCATTTTAACCTAAAATCAAATTTTTCTAATTGGGAAATAATATAAAGATATTGTCTCCAATAAAATGCTAAGAATATTAAGGATTGAAAGTATAAAGATAAGTAGTCATAAGGATGTTTAAAGATTAACCTGCCATGTCCCACAAGACTGGTAAACCAATGTTATCAGGAGAAAGACACAGTTAAATTCACAGCAGCGTCTTAGGTCAGCCTAAGCAAATACGTTATATGACATGCAACTTACCCTTCTCCTCTTTCTTTCTCCCCCATCAAAAGCCAACTTCCTGTTCTATAATCCACCTTTTCCAGTGATTCTGCCTCAGAATGTCTAACAAACTGAACAAGGCTGAGCTCCAGACGTTGGTTTTGATTCTGGGCAGCAGAAATTTCCCTATGGGACAAGATGCCAGCATGACTTTTCCTAGTGTGCAATGAGCAGGACCAGCTCTGTCTGCCTCCTTAGGGATAGCCCCTGATAGGAATGCTGGGATTGAGTAAGTGGAAAGAGTGAGTGATTAGAACAAAGAGGGCAGGACCCAAGTTTTTTTTACCTCCTGACTTGAGTGTGCGGTTTAGTTCCTTTTCTAACAACTCTTGGCAATTCCATTATAAATCAGGTGAAAGAATTAGTCTAGTTTTTGTTTGTTTATAGGGCCTAACATGTCCCAGAAAGCCAGTTAATTCTAATCAGCACTATCTGGACAGTAAGGGAGATTGTGAACTCAGTTTTCTTACAGGACATAGGTATTACAATTATTATTGTGGTAAAAATGGCCTCCTAGCAGGAAGATAATTTTTTTGTGCGCTTTGGGAATCGCCCAAAAGTTTTCCACTGCAAAAACCAATGAAATAAGGAACAGATATTTTCTAAACCTTCAGTAAGTGGCTAAATCTATCAAGCTTATCTATTCACCCCCATAGTGAGAATACCTTGCAATATGTGTTTGTGCTATTCTTATAGATACCACAGTCAGAAAAAAAAGGGGGATGGATTAAAATATGCAGAAAAAAATTACCACATTCTGTGCTAATTTTAACCCCATATAAATGCTGTCTTATAAGTAGATCTATTAAATAGGGCCATCCATAGCCACAGCCTTTCATATTTTAAGTAAATATCATAACATAAGATTTTCATCAGAACACTTGTCTCCAATTTCTAGAGCCTTTTGTTACTCTTGCCACTACCTTAGTAAGGCTTTAGTGTGCCAGATATGAGCCTGCTAGATTTAAGTCAAATAATTATTTATTCTTATGCCCACTTCTCAACCGTGTTGATCAAATTCATAAAAGAAATCTTAGCCTTAAATTCCTTACTTCACTTCCTTGTCTTCACTTCCTCTGGAACCTAGTCTATTATGCTGCAGCCTTGACAACTTGCCAAGACAAAAAGTTGAGAGTTACAATAGTAGGAGGAAGAGCTAGAGAATAAACAGAATGAGAAAGTATAAAATATGATTAAATTTAGTTTCAGAAAGAGAGGAGAGAGGTGAATGAAGCAGAAATATATGAAAAGATAATGAACAGTTTTTAAAAAAGGGACGAAAGACATCAATTCACACTTCAAGAAGACAAAAGCATTCCTGGGCAATTTATATAAAAAGAAGTGTGGTGTGTGTGTATGTGTGCATGTGTGTGTGTGTGTGCGTGTGTTCAGAGTAAAACAGCAGAGAATCTTAAATCAAGAAAAAAAATCTTAAAAATCAGAGGGGGAGGGAGAAAAAAGACTGTCTTCAGGGAAGTCAGTTGACAGCTGACTTCTCAAAAATAACCGTGGAAACCAATTGAGACTGGAATTACATTTTCAATGTCCAGAGAGAAAATAACTAACATCAAATTTCGTATAAAGCAGAGCAATTCTTTAAAATAAGAAATGAAAGCATTTAAGAGAAAATTTGCAGAATTTAACAGTATATTTTCTCTAAAGGAAACTCCACAAGTAGATGGAAAGGATGAGGGCCTAGATTATACCGCACCTACCACCTGTGTAGTTGTGCTCAAAGGACAGAACCTCTTTGGGATGGTTTCTAAATTTTAAAATAAAGATGATGTATTCTCAGCTAGTCTCACTGTATTTTATTAATTGAAACACCACATGTGAAACAGAAGACTGTAATGCAAATGTAAAGAGATTCATTACTAAAACCTTAGGCCAAGCTTTGATGTTCTTAAAAGGGCAATGGCAGGAATGAGAATGGGGAAAATGATCTATCGTCTGTGAGTTGTAGGACTTAGAGAAAGCCTCAAGGGCTGCCATGTGTTTTATCATGTCCTGAGAAATAGGTTTACAAATATTAGCACCTCCTTACTGTGCTGGATAATTCTATTCTGATTCCTCCAGCAGTTTGTGAGACCCCCTATGTGTAGAGTGGGTATGTAAAGGGGAAACAAAGGGTTTTCCACTCTCAACAACCACGTGCCTCACCTGTTCTTGCTGCCTGCAAGCTGCAGCTACATCCAGTTGGCTCTCACCTCTCAAATAGCTTCAAAGAGAAGCAAATCATATTCAACAGATTTTGTGGTGGAACTCATCCTGCGGACTTTTTAAAAAATGTGTTTTATCTTACTGCCTTTGATAAAAGTTCTGAACCCAGGGCCAGTTGTGGCCGAATTTGGACATATGAAAAATCTGCCTTTAGTCTCTTGCCATTCCTTCACCATTGCCTCCCACCTATTCTACTGCTCCTGCTTTTTGCCCATCCCCTAGTAGTATTCTGTGACCTTTTAATACTCTGTTAGCCTGTCCAAAGCCTGATATTTCTAGTCACTGAATTGCTTTCCAGAATCTTCTCCTACACTGTTAAGTAGATATATATCTCTCCACTCAATCTCTAAAATAAAGTGGTTTATAGCCTAACTTATATCTCAATGTAATGTTCTAGGTTAGGTCTCCCTGGACTGTTTGTATTTGAAAAAGAGATGTTAGAGGAGATTCCAAGAAAGTCTCCTCAAAGATACATTCTCAGTTACGGTGACAGTAGGATAGAAAAGATGTTTTTATTGTAAAATATTGTTTCCCACACTTCTCAGCCATAGTGTAGGCTGCCAGTGTTTGGTCAGGTCAGTTCCCATCAGCAGGGACGCAGGCAACATACTGTCAGCAATTCTTTTTTTTTTTTTTTTTTTTTTTTTTGAGATGGAGTCGCACTCTGTCGCCAGGCTGGAGTGCACTGGTACGATCTTGGCTCACTGCAATCTCCGCCTCCTGGGTTCAAGCCATTCTCCTGCCTCAGCCACCTGAGTAGCTGGGATTACAGGCATGTGCCACCATACTCAGCTAATTTTGTATTTTTAATAGAGACAGGGTTTCACCATGTTGGCCAGGATGGTCTCAATCTCCGTGTCAGCAATTTTTAAAACATATATTTTTATTCCAATTAG